GCCGCTCTCCCTTCCTGAAGGACCGGCGGGGGCTGTGGTTGGCACCACTGCCCACCGTCTCCACACCCAGCGGTAGGGACTTGCCCAGCTTCAGCTTCGTCTTCTGGGGGGAATGGAGAAGCATCTCAGCATGAGGACATCTGAGGCTGTCCCTTCCCCTTCCTCAGTCCCCTGACTGCTCGTCTGTCTTCAGCCTCGGGCTGGGTTTGCTCCAAGTAGAGGGGAAGGGACCCAGCACCATTTTCTCAGGTGAATGGACAGGTCCCCGACCCCCCACCTTCCCACCCCGCTCACCTTGCTGAGGTCAGGTGGGGGGCTGCTGCTGCGGGAGTGGGGGCGCAGGTCGGGCAGGGGCTGCCCCTGGCTCTCTGCCTGCAGGCAGGCCTGGTAGAGCGGGGATTTCACAAAGCGTGTGTAGCTGTCAAACTTCATCAAGTTAAAGATCTGCAAAGGGAGGATGCATGTGCTCAAGACCCCTGCCCACCTACAGCTCACTCCAACCACTGCCTCGTGGCACAGCCCCACGGCAACAGCAGCGATGCTGGGTGATGCGTGGGGTGGTCCCACAGCCCCCATCCTGCGGGTGGGGTGGAGCACGGGTACTGCTTGTACCTGGAGCTGCTGGATGCGAAACATGTCTGGGGAGGGGTTGGCCAGCATGTCCTCCCCAATCCACGCCTGCTTATCGATGTTCACTGGACTGACCGAGTGACTGGAGAGGAACTCATCGTAGATCCGCCGCGCCTCCTGGGCCAGCTGGGGGAGCAGGGAGGTCAGGCTGAGACCAGCCCCCCCTGGGACCAGCTCGGTAACTGGTTTCAGGATGGGCATTGGAGCCAGCCGCCCCTACCCAGCGCCAAGCTCTAGGCACAACACGCCAGTCTCTCCGCAGAGGTACAGCCCAAGGTAGGAACCGTCCCCCCCAGCCATGTGGCTCTGTCCCCATGATTCCCAGTCCAGCTCCCTGCCCTTGGTCTCCTTTTTCCTCTCCACCCTCTGGCCACCCTGGGCTGGAGAAGCAGACCGTGTTCCATGGGGCAGGCAGTCCCGGCTGTGGCTTTTCAGATGCACATCACATCCATCTCCTTATTCCTCCTGCAAGAGCCCTCAGTCTGTTCAGCTTCCCAGACCAGGGGTCTGCCGGGACCCTGGGACATGCAGGCACCACAGCCACCTCCACCTCTGCCCACGTCCCTCCCAGCAGCTGCATGACCCAAGCTCAGCCGCACCGTCACTGTGTGGAGGCCGGTACCTGCTGCGTGGCGCTGGCTGGGATCTGCTGGAAGCGCTCACACGCCTGCCAGAAGTAGACATTTTCGGCACTGAACTCCTTCTTGAGGAACTCCTGTGGGGCAGAGAGAGCTGCTGGCCTGGCCGGCACCATGGCTGTGGGACAGCCGGTTGCCAACGGCAGATGGGAGCGGGGACCGAGGTCTGGGCTGTGGCACTCACAGTGAAGTAGGTGACGGCCACATGGTCCTGCAGCAGCGTCTCGAAGGATTCGGCCCAGCTGACCACAGATCCCTGTGTGGAGCCGCAGGTGGCCGGTGGTCCCGGCAGGCTGTTCACACTGTGATTGCTGCCACGGGCCCTGGAGGCGTTTAACTCTGAGAGAGAAAAAGGGTCAGTTCTGGCTACCTGGGTGTCCCTCAGCATCACTCCCTGTCACCAGCAGCCCTCTGTATCAGCAGTGAGTTCATCTGCCCCATCCCAGTCGGAACAAGTGAGCCCTCAGCTAGGGAACAGGAGGAGCATCACAGCGGCATCCTCGTCACAGTGGCATCCTCGGCAGATTGAGCACCGTGATGCTACAGCTGGCACTTCCCTCCCGGCATGACAGCCCTCCCTGCCAGTGCTGGCCATCCTCGTCCTCCCCTCCCCGGGTGTCACCGTGACTCCACCTGTGACTCATTTCCCAGGGGAACAAAGCTGATGTGAGAGGAAGGCACCCAGCCAGGGAGGGAAAGCGGGGTGGAAGGTTACACGGGGGGCACACGGCATGGTGAAAAGCTCGGAGGATGAGTAGAGCTGCCTGAACTTATCTTCTCCATTCCTCTGACCACAACAAGGAACAAACCCAGTGAGAGGAGGGCACAGAAAGTGTCATCCATAGCTCCCAACCCTGAAGAAACCCTCCCTCGGGGAAACCCAAGGTGACCATGCATTCAAATGGAGTCCCTCCGTCAAAAAGATGGAAGTTCCCAGGGGCAAGCCCAGCTTTTGAACTGGTTTGGCTGGTAAGCAACGAGTAGCAGAGGGTCATTTGCAAGACAAGATAAGGGTATGGCAGCAGGTCTCTTGCAGCAAAGCTGGCAGGAGCAGAGGACACAGCAGGCTGCTCCTTTGCTGGATTCCCCATCCTTCTCCTCCTGTCCAAAACATGAGATAACTGCGCACACCCTGCATGTGCCGCTGGGATCATCAGCCACTGGCACCCTGCACTGGAAGGATCCTGCAGCAGGGCTGAGACGGGTGAATGGACCATTGGAGATATCCGATGCACAATGAGACAGATGGACAGACAGACTCACTCCCTCAGGGAACCCGGGGCTGGCTGGTACCCAAGTTCTGCTTGCCCTGGGAAGCCCCTCAGCCCCCAGCACCCAAAGGTGCCAGCTGAGCAGCCAGAAGAAAGGGACAGGCACAATGGGGCTGTGTGGGAGGGATGGTGGGGTATGGTGAGTCCCTGGCAGAGGGCTCAGCCTGGCACTGATGGGGGGGGGGCCACCCATGCACCCACCCATGGCACAGCCGGCGCTGACACAGGACCTGGCTCTCTGCTGGCTCCTTGCCCCTGGCACCAGGCTAGCTGTGGGGTCCCCCCTTCCCTGAAGATGATGCCGCTTCCCATCCCAGAGCACAAAGCAGCCTTACCTCCATCTGACACAGCTGGGCCCTGCGGGGGTGGAGAGAAGAGAGGTGAGAGGGACGACACAGCATCTGCCAGCCCGGTGGAGCAGTACCCGGGCAGGCAGCATCATCAGGGAAAGCCCAGTCTGAACTGAGGAGCAAGGGACACGGGCTGCTGGCAAACACCGCTCTGGTGTTAGCTGCAACTAGGACATCTGCCCCATGGCAGAGGCAGGACACGGGGCTCCCAACCCAGGGGCAGCGAGTACAGGTTGGGGGTTACAAGGGATGAAAAAAAAATCCAGTGCATCTCCTGCCCGGGGCCCAGGCCAGCAATTGGGAAAGGGCAGATGCTATCAGATGTAACCCTGCCACCACAGTCCGGGGAAGAGAGAAGCAGCCTCCCCCGGCACAGGAAGAGGTGGGGAGGAGGGGAGGGAAGGAAGGACAACCACAGCCCCAGGCAGGCAGATTGCCTGCTCCCTCCTTCCTTGGGGCCTGGGGCTGCTGGAGGGCAGATCCCCAAAAAGAGGGACTTGGTGCTGCCGGCCCAGGGCACAGCAGGACAGGGTGCCCTGCAGTACCCCCTGGGCTGCCCCAGATACCAGCCGTGGGGATGTGGTACCCCAGATCCCACAGCAAACAGGGAGATGGGCAGAGCCTCTGCAGTCAAAGCCCAGCCAACCGCACCCTGCACGGCGCTGCCTCTCATCGCCCACCCGGGGCCACACTGAAGTGGTGCCCTTGACCTGGCTGGCCGGTGCCCCCCACCCTGT